AATAAATACGACCTTTTGCGAAAAAAAATTGTCACACGCTCGTGAGATTTTTCCCGAAAATGTCAATTTCAACGTTATGAAACTATTCAACTTTGATGCAGAACACAAACAAGCATATTCATAATAACTTTCGCCATGTTCTACACAATGTATATTCAGAAGCTTTTGACAACATAAAATCATAGAATATTTTGAACTGTTTTTGTCAGAATATTGTTTAGTCCCTTCATATTTCGTTTCTCTGTTACGAGTCTTTGTGTCTCTGTTATATCCTAAGATTTAAGTAATTATATATTTCGGGATTTTCTCTCCAAGTTGTCCCTAGGCGTTTTCTCCTGAGCTACGTCGGGTACAACAACATAACAAATCAGGTATGCACGAGAGAGATATCAAGCCAGATTATCAAATAAGAAACATGGGCATTCTATTGAGTGATGTTTTTTAAATACGTCTTTGCACATTATGTTAGTTGACGTTACACACTATATTCAACTGTGTTAGTTGTGATTTAGTTAGATGTGATGCTACTTGTGAAACACTGACCAACTAGAGCTTGTTCTTTACAAGCAAAATCTACATAGTAACTTACTGTAAAGGGAATATACAGTGTATAACAACACCGTGCAAGCGATGGGTTTAAAATAGCATATTATACAATGAAAATGTGAAGCTTTGATGTATGAACTGATTTTAAGTCGATAGAGAAGACTAGGTGGCATATATATACCAACAGCCGAGTGAGCTTTTTAGAGTGAGCTACGCTATAACCGCATCATTATAGCCATCGCTTAATCAGCCATTAGATGGCGTAAAACACTCTTATACTCTGGGATCTTAATTACTTACGCAGTTGTAAAATAGGATTTGTATGGTCTCGCCAAGCATTGTTTAATATTTCTGAAATGAGATGCATTAGAAAGGGTTGCAGGGTGCTGTGAGGAGCTGAGACTTCAAGAAGTCACAGATGCGGGATTGCTTGGTGTACGTAAGAATATTATGTATACGGTGATTTCTTGTTAGTGTTTGTTTATAAGGCTTGTTAATCCTGCTTTTGTGGAAATAACAGTCAACATCCCTGCACAGTGTGGATGCCACTTACGCACCAAGCCCAGGAGAGACCATAAGATAGTTTTACAGCAATGTTTGTGGGCGAGGTACACAGTTGCTTTTGCAATTATTTAGGGAAAGCGACCACCTGGTGTCCTGGTATCAGGAGATCAGACCGGTTACCCGGGTGTCAAGATATCAGACCGGTTTCATCATAACAGCAGGTATATATAATCACACCATTAACGTTCGTAACATCAGTCTGATACGAGAACACCACACGGACGTTCAGTGACTTCATTGGGTAAACGGATGTTTTTTATATTAATTCAGTATGTTTAGTTTTGTGATATATTATGTTCTTGACCTTACAGTCTTTAAATGACGCGTGATGTTTAGATAATATTAATTCGATGCTTAGAATAAACTGTTATATTGCAAACATAAACAGGGCGCGTTTTTGTTCTACATCAATACGCGGTGTTCAATGCATTGATTTCTATTATCTTAACTAATTTGTAGGAGAGCCTATATATATAAGACGTGAATTCTACAAGTGAGACGATCGAGGCTGTCTTCGAATCAAAACACGTAGTCGGAACTTGAACGCCAGACAGGGTAGACATATCTGACGTGTGTGACCAGTACGTGGCAGCTTTCCCAAAAGCCCGATGGAGTACGTAAGAATTAATTCCGGGTCAAATCCATATGAGTGCGAGCTGTGTGATGCTGCCTTCTCATTTCTGAGTAGTGTGAAGAGACACATGAGAACTCACACTGGAGTGAAGCCGTATAAGTGCGATCTGTGTGATGCTGCATTCTCACAATCGGGTACTTTGAAGAGACACATGAGAACTCACACTGGAGTGAAGCCGTATAAGTGTGCGCTGTGTGATGCTGCCTTTACATTATCGGGTAATCTGAAGACACACATGAGAACTCACACTGGAGTGAAGCCGTATAAGTGCGATCTGTGTGATGCTGCATTCTCACACATGGGTAATCTGAAGAAACACATGAGAACTCACACGGGGGAGAAACCATATAAGTGCGATCTCTGTGATGCTACCTTCTCCCGTCTGGATAGTGTGAAGACACACCTGAGAACTCACACTCAAGAGAAACCATATAAGTGCGATCTGTGTGTTGCCGCCTTCACACAATCGGATACACTGAAGGCACACATGAGAACTCACACGGGAGAGAAACCCTACAAGTGCGATCTGTGTGATGCTACCTTTGCACAATCGGCTCATTTTAAGACACACACGAGAACTCACACGGGAGAGAAACCCTACAAGTGCGATCTGTGTGATGCTACCTTTGCACAATCTTCTCATTTGAAGACACACATGAGAACTCACACGGGAGAGAAACCATATAAGTGCGATCTGTGTGATGCTACCTTCTCCCGTCTGGATAGTGTGAAGACACACCTGAGAACTCACACTCAAGAGAAACCATATAAGTGCGATCTGTGTGATGCTACCTTCGCACAATCAGGTAATCTGAAGACACACATGAGAACCCACACGGGAGAGAAACCATATAAGTGCGATCTGTGTGATGCTACCTTCTCCCGTCTGGATAGTGTGAAGACACACCTGAGAACTCACACTCAAGAGAAACCGTGTAAGTGCGATTTGTGTGATGCTATCTTTGCACAATCGGGTACTCTGAAGACACACATGAGAACCCACACGGGCGAGAAACCATATAAGTGCGATCTGTGTGATGCTACCTTCTCCCTCCTGGGTCATGTGAAGACACACCTGAGAACTCACACTCAAGAGAAACCATATAAGTGCGAACTGTGTGATGCTGCCTTCTCACAATCGGGTACTCTGAAGACACACATGAGAACTCACACGGGAGAGAAAACGAAGAAGAAAAAATCATTTTAAAGTAACATTTGAAGTGAAGAGTTAGCTCTATAATCACACATGGCAATGCATAATAACTCTATGGAGATGTTGTACAGATGTAAGCAGAAAGTACATCTCGAACTGTCAGACTCACATGTAAGATCAGCTTGGCTCTGTGAACAAGCGAGCACACTGCACACCTGTGAACTGGAGCAGTGCGGAATACCAACTAATGCAACTCAACTGTTAGAGTTTCTTTCCAAAGTGGAAGCTGGACTAGGAATTAATTGAAAAAGTCTTGAAATATTTAAGGTATACAACCGGACTGTGTTATGTTTGTAATTTTTTTGGTGTTTTGAATCTATACCTAACCTGTGGCCATGAAAACTCTTTGTAACTTTTTGTAAGTAACTGTACGTTTGAACACTGATCTAATAAAACGCATTATGATTCATAATATTAACGTCTCCCGTCAAATTCAGAACCCTGTATTACAGGTTGGTATTATTGATTATGTATACATAGATATGAGTACAGTAGTATCAGGTTTAACATTATAAACATTAGACTCACTTCTTTTAGGTTTCAAACCTAGACTTCACCATCAGTTTGCAGTAAAATTAAACTTCTTCTACTCCAACTGTTTGGATTAGATCTGTTGCTGAAGTGATTCGATCGTGCGTCACGACTAACTTTTTAAGTTTTTAGGCAAGATGCTAGAAAAATTCACACACCCAGTGACCCATGACAGTTTATAAATTTAAGGTCAAAATTTAAAAACACAAGCGAGCAGTCTATCACTGTATGTAAACGAGCTCTCTGCGCACATTACATGTAAGTTATAGAGAGCATTTATAGATTCCTATATTCTTATAATATACTCTGATATTCATTAGAATTTAGAGTGGGTGAAAAATCATGGATTCACAGCGAATAAGACCACTCGCTAAATGTTGTAGTGAGGCGAGTTTGAGGTCGTTATAAACTTATAGTAACAATTAGCACAATTCCACGCTTAATTTTGGCTAACGCTCCATTAGGAGTGTTCCCAACCTTGATATCATTAATGATTAATGATTGATAATCCCAACCCTAATCCTAACCTAAACAACATTAAACCACAAACTAATATATGACCATGACCATATATATACCATTAATGACCATTATTAAACCATTAATGATCTTAAAGTTGGGAACACTCCTAATGGAGTATCATCCCCTAATTTTCGAACCCTGGACAAATATCGATAACAGTAAAATGATATGGTTGTAATATTAAAATTTATTTAAACATTGTTTAGACCTATTTATATAAAAACAATGGAAAATGAAATATATATATAATACCATCATGAATATATGTATCAGAAAATAATTAATTATATAATACACCCTATCATCCTATGTATAACATAGGTCGATAGCATTCAAGCAGATATGTAATGATATCTTTAAAAACCAGAAGCACCAATCGATTGAAAGCGTACAAGGAAATAACACATCCGGTCGAAAAAGTCCCATTTAAAAATTCCCGTTTCCCGTGCGTAAACCTACCCTGGTTAATCGTAAAATCGTTTTAACTTTTTCCACTACAATCCGCTGTACCGATCTATCGATATTATCGACTCCCACTCTCTCTGTCTTCCGTATACAGGGCCGATGAATCGATATGATCGACTCACTTTTACAGATTTTAGTATATATACACTGCCAATGTATCGATATGAACGACTCTCACTTTCTCTGTCGTCCGTATACAGGGCCGATGAATCGATATGATCGACTCACTCTTACAGTTTTTAGTATATATACACTGCCAATGTATCGATATGAACGACTCTCACTTTCTCTGTCGTCCGTATACAGGGCCAATGTATCGATATGATCGACTCTCGCTCGCTCTGTCTTCGGTATATATACAGTCCCTCGGAGTCCCCCGCGAGGTAAGGTTGAGACGGGGCGTCACGGCAGTGGGCAGTGGCTGCTGCTAGGGAATGCGCACGAGATTCCCACCTTGCTTAGCCGCCTGGTACTCCTCCTCCGCCGTCATGACGCCGCGCACGACGATGAGCTTGTACTGCGGGGCGCGCAGCGTCCGCACAGACCGCCGCAGCAGCTTCAGCAGCGAGGGGGCGCTGCTCGTGGCGCGACGCACCGACTCCGCGCTCGCGCTCGGGTCAAACACGAGCAAGTGGACGCCGCCGTCCGCTCGCCGCTCGCAGCCCACCACCGTCCGGCTGTGACCGCTATGCTGCAGGTACAGCGGCGGCACGAACCGACCGTCCTCCGTCGCGGCGGCGAAGTGGCGCTGTACGTAGTCTACAAGTAGCGGGTGCTTGCCGCCGGCGCCCGTCGCCGCGTGGAAGTCGACGATGTCGCATGTCGATGTGCATTACTTTAATAAACCAGCTAATGAAAGGTGGTTATTGTTCAGCAGGTTTGTGTAGAAGCGAAATTGCCGTAAGTAACAACAGTTACACATGGAACACGCGGAATTACAACAAGGCAACAGCAGTTACATGATACAAGCGTAAATGAGCGAGTAAAGTAACCGAAATGCAAAGAGAAAGATACAATCAAGAGCATAATAATAAAGAAGGTATTCCTTCTTTATATGCTCTTGATACAATAGATAAGTTGACATAGAATAAATGTAACAAGGGCAACTTTACATCAGAAAGTAAACGTGACTGTAGAGCAATGACGCTGCAAACTACTGTGGCGTTTTTNTTGCAGGCCAGGCACCAAGCCCAGCGACCGGACCCCACGGCCCCCGCCTGGAGTGCGGCACCCCCAAAAAGGTGCCGCCCCGGGCGTCCGCCGGGCCCCCATCGGGTGGCAGCGGTATCGGCGTGCCCCGCCGTCGATGTCCTGACGGCGGGCGGAATTGCGGAAGCGGAGGCTCTCGCCGGCGGCGCGCTCACGGCGGCCGGGAGCGCACGAGCGGGTGACGGGTCCGGCGGCGTTGATGAGGGCGGCGCTACGGCCGCCGCCACTCGGGTCGTCACCCTCGCTCGGGCCCTCTCCCGGCGGTAGCGCGCCTTCAATGCCTTCTTCCGCTTCCCTTCCGTCAGGCGGACCTCCTCGGCGGCGCTTGCTGCGGCAGCATCCTGCGCCGCCTGTCTTCGGCGGCGCTCCCGACGCTGCTTCTGGCGCCTTTCTTCTGCCTTCGCTTGGGCCGCCGAGGTTGCCGTCATCTCACCCTCATCGGCGGGCTGCGGCGGCGACGACGGCGGCATCCCGTGGTGGTCGTCGGCGGGCGGCGATGGGCAGGCAGCCCCCTCCGGGGTGCTGACCGCCATC